TGAAAAAATATGGATTCTTTGATGCTGCGGGCAAACACTATTGATGTGAATTTCCCGTTGGCTAAGGCGCGTAGGTTCCAATTGGACCATCCCATGTATGCCAATTCATGTAGGTGGACACTTTCGATGGGTCGGCCTGCAAGTTGGTACCTTTGACTCCAAGCTGTGGCTGTGACTTGGCGTGGAAACGTCAAGCCATACTGGTGTTTGGTGTCAAAATGTTCATTGTCTGGCTGAAAACTGCTCGGTAAGTTGCGGTCGTACCGCTTTGTGCCTTGTGGGCTGGGTGGTTCGTTCCACTGCTGGTGTTGTGTGTGTGCTTGATATGCTCTTGGTGGTGTGTTGACTTGGTACTGTTTCGAATGCCAAGAATCATACGGTCCCATGCTGCCGCGCCACGAGGTCATGGTTGCACTCGAACAACGAAGAAACGTGAAGGTGTCCTGATGATCGCTACAATATCTACTTTTTTGAGCACGAGGATTGCTATCAGAAACAATTCTGAAACAGAGATTGCTATCAGAGATAAAATCCAAACAAATCCAAACAAAATCCAAACAAATCCAAACAAAATTGTATTAGGCAATGAGGATTTGATGACATCAACGATGTTAACGCATGTGAATTTTTGAATTACAATGGTTGACGACATGTCGGCAAAACCCTTCAAACAATTGCAAACGGCTTGGTGGAAGTACACTGTACATCGGCTCTTTTTTTGCTGGTTCCGCTGATATGTTCTATGCCACGTGTCACTGGGAAGATTTCAAATAGGATATTATTTATATCACAAGGACACATTATATTTGCAGGAAGGTGGAGATTCTCTAGAAATAGTAAATTCGATAAAAATAGCATATCATATTATAGTATAAATGGAGGTGAAACTGACGCGTCAGCAGCCTCTCATTTGCACATCTGTCGGCAGCAGCTGCGGCTCGCCAAACCCATCTTCATGCTCAAGCGTGTGCTGTGCTGGTGTGAAGAAGTTTGGATCAGGCTCAAGGATCCAAATGCTGGAGATGTGTGCTAGTGTTGAGTGAATGCACCAACGTCGATCCCGTGGTCTGTGGACTATGCCATGAGTGTCCACTTCTTCTTGTTCGGCCCATGTTCCTCCTGTGGGTACTGGTTTGTGTGTGCCCCACAATTGTCCTGTGAGGATGAATGGTACATGGCTTTTGCCGCTGAGGTATCGATGGACGACTTTGTGGATGAGGTTGTCCTGTTCCATTGTGGCACTGCAAAAGAAGCCATGAACTTTTCGGCCATCCATGGATTCAGAGCATGTTGGTAGGATTAGGCCATGGAGTAGGATTCCTAAGAATCCCGATTCGCTTGTGGCATGTGCCCAATGGTAGTAGGCGTTTCCTGCTTGTGATAGTGATATTGCGGTGTTGCGTGGCATGTTTTTTAAGTGGAGTTGCCATATTCTGAATTGTTGGTGCTGGTGAAATGTGATGTGGGTGAGTGTGTTGTTGATAGGCATGCCGGTTGTGACGATGTACTTTGCTAACGTTGTGGTGATGTGTTCTTCTGGTAGGTCGATGCCTGCTGGAAATCGTGTTTCCAACCATTCTTTCATGTCAAGTACACTTTTGTCCCGATCCGATAAGAATCGGAAGTATACTGACGGTGCTGTGAGCTCACGGGCTCGGAGTGTTGCTGAGTGAAGGCGTTGCTCTAGCTCTTGGTAATTGAATATCTGGTAGCTGTCACGCGTGGGAGGTTCCCACGGAATGAGGACTGACGGATCCTGTTGTATTTGTCGTTCGATGGCTTCTTCAAGGTGATCAATTGCTTGTGTTGGCTGTGGTTCGTTGGTAGTGTTGGTAGTGTCAAGTGGTGTTGGTGGTGTGTATTGCTGGCGAGGTGTGAGGTGGACTTGTCCTGCTGTGACAGTCGTTGATGTTGTGGTGTTGTAAGTGTTCTTGGACTTGGCGATGGACCTGATTTTGTCAGCCACGCTAAGCCCCGCGCTAAGCGGTGGTGGTACTGTGGGAGGAGGCAGAAGAGGCGGCGGAGGTGGTTGTTGTTGATGAGAAGTAGGAGAAGTGGAGAACAGGTGTTTACCTGTGTAATCTGATGGTAACGGTGGTGGTGGAAGAGGTGGTAGTTGTGTTGTTGTTGGTGGTGGTGGTAGTGGTGACATGTGGTGTTGTGGTGTTGTGTGTTGCTGAGAAGATGCTGCTGGTTTGTGTCCGGTGTGTGATCGATGGTTGGATTTGGACCTGTCAGTGTGTGAAGAATGTTGCCTGCGATGTGAACGGTGCCGGCGTCGACGTTGTGATCGGTGTTTTGAATTTGTGGTGTCTGGAACGTAGTGTGGTGGATCTGTGGCGTGATCTGTAATGGGAGTGATGTCGTTTCGTCGATTTGCGTCTGTGTCGTCTGGTGGTGGATGATCTGTGCTTCTTGCGTGTGGTGCGAGATCGTGTACGGTTGTGCTTGTTGTGACTCATTGGTGGCGTTGAAGCTGTAGTGGTTGGAAATTGCTGTGAAAATGGTGTGGCTGGTAGTGGTTGAACTAGTGTCGTGGTTGTTGAGTGTGGTGTAGGCTGGTAATTGAGGAGTGATCCATTTTGTGGTGGTGAGAGCTGAGGATTGGGTATGGCTGCGTTGTGATGCGGTGGTGGCTGAAAACCTGGCATGGCTGTGTTGTGATGTGGTGTGTTGAAAGTGTGCAAAGATGGAGATTGTGTAAACGCAGAGGTGGCAAATGGTGCTTGTGTTGGCTGTGGGACGGTGTGTCCCAGAAGTTGTGTTGTTGTTGTTGTTGTGGAATTGGAGCAAAAGGCTGTGTAAAATCTGCTGTGGTACACTGTGGTTGCATTGATTGTGGTAAGGTGTGTCCGGCTGGATAATGTTGTTGTGGAGTTTGAGAGAATGTTGATAGAAAAGGTGCTGATGCTTGTGCGTTGTGTGATGCTGAACTCATCCACTGGGCAAACAAATCAGCTGCCGTCATCGCGGGCTGCATGGTCGGAATCACGAAGCTGCAAGCGCTGCACATGTCAGTCTTCAATGTGGCCATGATGTCAAGTCGAAATTTATCTAACTCATGTCATTAGTCACCATGGCATGATGATTCATGTTCATGGCTTTCATGTTGCGCCATGTGAACTACGCGATGATTCATGTACAGGGTTTTCATGTTGCACCATGTAAACTACGCGAAAACTAACCAAATTGGTCTCAGTGAGGCTATCGAGTCATGTCTGTAAAAAGCCGCGAGCAGTCATGCATGGGATCCGTGTTGCAATCATACTACTAGTTCATGTGTAGAGGCCAAGGTTAAGAGTGAAAAAACGGTCGTGTTAGTTAAACATGTAGAACCGCATGGGATGACACGGGGTTATTCTGAGGGATGAAAATTTCACTCTGGATTTATTCTGGCATGGACTCTGGATTTATTCTGACAAAGATTCTGGATTTATTCTGAAAAGCATTCAATCCCCTGATGGAGTCTTCTGGATGCTTGTGCGAACTCTGGATGCTTGTGCGGAACTGGCTTCTGGCAACATTATGTCTGGATTTATTCTTGTAACCTGGTATCCCCGGCGGACGCACCACCAAGCTTCCCCGACACTTTGTCAGAGATCCGGGTGCATGAAAGACACACTTTGGTAAACTCCATAATGGAGAGGGTGAAATGAGATGAAATGATAACCGTCATGTCGTGTTGTTACATTAGCATGTCATGTCATGTCATGTCATGACATGTCGGCTTGGGTGGTTTTTGGCTTGGCCACCTTGCCATTTCGGATGCAGGTACGTTTTCATTCACGACGACATAGATGGGTCTTCGTTGGCCCGTGCCATCTATGCGTCCACGGGCCCCCTGCTTTTCCCTTTGATTCAGGGTTTCTCACACACGCACACAGAACAATTTTACACAGAGTGTTTTTACACATGGCAAGCGTTTACACACACACAGAAGCTTTTACACAGAGAAGATTTTACACACAGAGAAGATTTTACACACAGCAAGCTTTTACAGAAAAGAGTGTTTACAGAAAAGAGTCTTTACACAGAGAAGCTTTCTTGTACATAATGACATTGCAGCTCCAAAACCGGATCTCGACGCCAAAGCGAAAAAAAAAACGATTTTGACGCGCTTTTTCAACAGGAATTTTAAAAGAAAATTGCTAGCGCCAAAATTGAGAAAATCTGCTGACAAATCACTGTCGCAGCCTTGATGCAGTCACTCCAATACTGTTTACGAGATCCAGCTGCAAAGGACAATAGTACTACGCATGCAGGCAGCTCCACAACCGGATCTCGACACCAAAGCGAAAAAAATACGATTTTGACGCGCTTTTTCAACAGGAATTTTAAAAGAAAATTGCTAGCGCCAAAATTGAGAAAATCTGCTGACAAATCACTGTCGCAGCCTTGATGCAGCCACTCCAATACTGTTTACGAGATCCAGCTGCAAAAGACAATAGTATTACGCATGCAGCTGCGGCACCAAGCAACCTTGGCGCAGCCATTGAATTGCAATGCATTTTGCAGCATCACGTTGCAAACCGGCAACACCGGATGACAACAATCATGCAGCCATTCCAATGCGATCTGCAACCACAGAGTCAAGAAACGCATAGAACTACGCACACAGGAACAACCACTCGTTGAAGAACACAGAGGAGGAACCAAAACGACCCCAGCCGCAACCACCACACACACGAGGTACCTTTCATCGCCGGCTGCAGCCACTTTACACGGAAAAACACAAGGTTGTATTGTTATGTGATGTCAAGTCTCACACCGCCCTTGTCATAGCCTATTATTCTTTTGTGATGTATTGTTATGTGATGTCAAGTCTCACACCGCCCTTCATCAATGTCAAGTCTCACAATTCTATTTGTCCGTAACACGGAAGTATTGCTTCCCATTTTCCTTTGATGATATGTCGTACAGTATTATTTTTTCGGTGGTTCACTTTCTCTGCAACAGTTTCTGTTTTGTGCAACGTCCCATCCCATCTCATGCCACGGATCAAATCCAGTGAATACTGGCATGTTTGTGGAAACCTCGGATGGCAAGGACAGTTTGAACCTCCGTTCCAAGGTGAGCCGCCCAAATCTAGGATTTACATTTTTAGATATCTTTAGTTTCTACTCATGTTGTGTATACCCCAAAGTTGTGTGATTTCCCAAAGATTTATCCTGAATCTGGGTTGCCTGGCTTGCGGTCATCCGAAAGAATCTTGGTGCAGTGCCCGAGTGACGGCTTTCAGAGACTGAATTCGGGGCACTCCAAATATTAGAAATAGAAATAGGATCATCATCATCATCGTCGTCATCATCATCATCATCATCGTAATCGTCATCGTCATCGTCATCATCGTCATCGTCGTCATCATCGTCATCATCATCATCATCAGCATCATCATCATCATCATCGTCATCATCGTCATCATCATCATCGTCGTCATCATCATCGTCATCGTCGTCGTCGTCGTCGTCATTATCATCATCATCATCATCATCATCATCATCATCATCATCATCATCATCATCATCATCATCATCAACAACATGAACATCATCAACAACATGAACATCATCATCATCATCATCATCGTCGTCATCGTCATCGTCATCGTCATCGTCATCGTCATCATCATCGTCATCGTCATCGTCATCATCATCATCATCATCATCATCATCATCATCATCATCATCATCATCATCATCAGCATCATCATCATCATCATCGTCGTCGTCATCATCATCATCATCATCGTCGTCATCGTCATCATCATCATCGTCGTCATCATCATCGTCATCGTCGTCGTCGTCGTCATTATCATCATCATCATCATCAACAACATGAACATCATCAACAACATGAACATCATCATCATCATCATCATCATCATCATCATCATCGTCGTCATCGTCATCGTCATCGTCATCGTCATCATCATCGTCATCGTCATCGTCATCGTCATCATCATCATCATCATCATCATCATCATCATCATCATCATGCTCACATACATATATATATATATAGACATCAATTGTTCATTTGCTAATGTCTGCCTTTATACCCCCTTACAGCCCCCTACATCAAATTCCGATGAAATTAAGAAATGGGAAATTCGGAAATCAATGGAATTTACACTCATTTACATATCCCCATGATGCCCCCGAACAAATTGCCTAATATGTACACATCCACCATCCACCGAAAAGATGACGTTTCACTCAGGGCTGTTGGGGCAACCAAGGCGCCGTTGAACCCGTCCGCACATCCAAAGTAGGATGTGAACTTCCAGCGGGAGGCTGTACAGTGATGATCACCGGCAACCTCCGAACAAGCAGTGGTGTCGCCCCGGGGCTGATAGATTCTGATAGGTATTCAATCAACAAATAGATGGGGATTTATAGTTGATATCGTTGATTTGTGTTGGCTAAGTTGGTTCATACTGTTCCTAAAGCAAATACTAACTAGGGGGCACCACGATTCATGGGATGCATTGGATACATCGGGATCATCCTCAGGATAATCTTCATGGTAAACGATGACAACAAATTCTATTGAAGTACCCATCTGAGGATGCCCCAGTCATCCTGCCATAGAAAGTCATGGGGAACTACGATGTGACGATGTGGCCTACTCTCCAAGAATTGGGTAGAGGAAAACTCTACAGGAACTCCCAAATTTCACGGGGAACATCCATGGATTATTGTAGATGTTCCCTTAAATCATCTTGAATCAGTCCATTGGCACGTCACCTATGTTGGTTATACCGTTCTACCTTGTTATATCTCCATGTTTCATGTTTCCAGCTCCCTTTTTTGATGCTTGGGAGACCTCCCCAGATACCACAGGGGCCCAAGGCACTCGGAGCCCATGGCCACGACATTATCGATGTTGAAGGTCAAGAGGCTCCTAGTCCGACTGCATGGATGATTTGTGTTTCATGTGGGATGTTGATGAAATGTGTGATGTATTATATATTTTACATATGTATCCCACTACATGGATGATTTGTGTGTCATGTGTTTGATTTTACATAATGGTATTTTCAATAAATGTCGATCTAGATGTATTTTCTATAAATATGTCACTAGATAGGTTTCAGGGAACATCTACGGGATCACCCTTTAATTGATGATTAATAAAACATGTTTTCCTGTAAATGTTCTCTCAAACCAGTATATGTGATTGTGATACGGATATGTATGTATGTAAATAAATGAATGAATAACTGTATATATATATTATATACTGTACTATATATAGATGTATATAGTACATATATATATATACATGGTCATATAACTTTCATGTACATATATATATAATTATATATATATTATGTATATTTTGAATTATTTAGATGTAGATGTAGATGATGATGATGATGATGATAATGATTTTGATTTCACACTAGTACTACACAATTTATGTATACTTATTTATACTGACAATTCTGTAAATATGCTGCCATGTGCCGCCTATAAATTAATATAGATTCCAAGCCAATGCGTTCTAGCAATATCCAGCACTCTTAGTGAAATTCTTGCAATACAGAATTAGTCACCACGTGCAGGCGGCTGGGAAGTGTTTTCAAACCGTATGAGGTGTGAACCACAGAGTGATGGTCGTGTTGGGCCAGTTCTTCCCTTTTGGATACCCTTCAAACATCAACGAGGTTGAGCCACCTGAAAAATATGCCAAAGTCATTGGGGATCATCATCCCAATATGGTTGACAATTGACAATAAGAAAATGAAACCATCAGGGATTGCATAGAAAAAGCATCTATTAAGATATCCTAAGATATCTACAGTGAAACATCTTCTGACCGCTGGACTCGGCTACAGGTTGAACAGGCTCCTGGGCGGAACACTGTCTGCCACGGCTTCGGAACTCACCAATGTCAGGGCCTGTTGGTAAGGTCCCAAGCGCAAACCGACAGACTCTGCCTCAGACGCAGCCGCGAAGGGAGTTTCTGTCGAGATTTCAGAGGCGAAGGGAGATGGATGCAATTGGGACATCAATGGGAATTAGATGGAATTATGCCAAAGATGCATCCCAAACCACGAAATCTATCCAAGTCTTAGATATCTTCGATGAACAAAACAGCGCTGTCTGCTGGCAAGTTTAGTCGTTGAACAGGAACTCCTGCCCCTGGCACTGAGGAATTTTCGGGATGGGACACCAAACATTTGAATCCACCAACGAAATTTAATTACAGTCCGTTAAAATCATAGAATAGTTTGGGAAAACAACTGATCACCTTATGACATTGACACTATTTGACACTCATGGCACATCCAGACTCATTTAGGGTATCGATCAAATCGCTTGCTGACCAAAAATCATGTACCTGCAGGATTCAAATCCAAGAAGTTTTAGGCGCTTCCGCTTTCCAGTGGTTTTGGTGGATTTGCGAGGTTTCATTGCATTTCCCAGCGAGTGCAAAGGATTGGCCACCATTTTGCTTTGACAGGAAAATTGCTGCAGAAAGAGGCATTAGCAGTGAGCAGTCCACTTTTAATGATGTCGCTCTATGACTTTTGTGGATTTGCGGCATTTTGATGTTTCATTGCGTGGTTTTGCGTTTTCTTTTGCAGCTAAAGTTGATAGTTTTGGACCGCGATAATCTTGTTTTGTCCCACAAAAAGCGCAATGTCCAAAGCTACACGATCGAAAACACCGCAGACATTCTGCCAAACTTGCCGAGGACACAAAGCGGAATTTCAGTCGCTTTGATGGATTTAGGAGGTTGGTTGAATTTCTCCTCCTTTTGCAGGAAAAACCTGGAAGTTCCGGGAATCATATCTTTACGGCTTCTCCCAAAGTCTCTTGATGATCCCCTCTTAACAAAAAAGGTCAAGTCACAAGGTACCCCTAAAACTGGATGGCTCTTCTACTTAACATGAGCAAAATGACGTGGGTTCCCCTGTGCCGTTTCACAAATTTCAAGCCATACCCATCCAAATCATGGCTAGAATCTTTAGATATATTCAGTATATCTTCAGTATTTTATGGTTATATAATGTTATATACATTTCATATATTATATATTAACTCCCAAGATCTCCGCCATGGTCACCACGAACAAAAATCTGCTAAAGCTCCCGTTCTTCTAGTCCAAGTCACTGCCAAAGTGCTTGGCACAGAGATGCTAAAGCTGGCGCTATTCGTCTCATCGAAGGAAATCAACGATTGCAGGGTGCTGGTTTCGATGCGCAGATCCAAGGTGCCTGGCATGGTGAAGCATCACGGCATCACATGGCATCACGGCATCACGGCACCCCGCCTAGGACGAAGGTGATCGTGTAAGGCACCGGTGAACTGGTTCCTCAGGACACTGGACAGGATTGGTACATTGGCTGGTGTCAACCAGGATTTATATAACATTATATAACCCTCCCAGAAACATATGTATCAAATGCTGTCAACCGGGTTCTCAGAGAAGTTCCTACATCGCCAATTCCAATGACGAAACTCAGAGGAAGTGGCCAGTATCCTGACAAGATTCCGGAGTTTGCAGGGTCCACTGTGACTGCAACCTGAGTCAATGACGATGCCCCTGCCTTTCGGTTTTGGATGCAAACCATGAAAAGGAATTTGAGTCTTGGTTTCAACCCCCACTGCAAAACTAGAACTTGAGGATCATCTAATTAAAATTAATCTTGCCAGTTGTTTCCGCAACTTCAGGATACTCAAAGCTAATGCTCAGGGACTAACCATTAACTACTTACTTTGACAGGGTGCGAAAACTTACGTCGTGTATGCGGGGCAAATGTTTCTCGCTGATAGATCTTACATCTGCCAATAGTGAATTTCATCTTGACATTTCCATTTCATGACCTAGACGCACACACAAGGCTCAACCTAGACCCCAACGGTGGCTACAAACTTTCGATGATAGCACTTGTATACCAGTTTATATCTTGTCAGTGTCTCCAAAGCCTCATGTATAAGTATATATTCACCTATAATGTATATATAGTAAATAATTATATATAAGGCAAGAGTACAAATATATGTTATGTATATATATGTATCTGTATCTGTATCTGTATATGTATATGTATATATGTATATATGTGTATATGTGTATATGTGTATATGTGTATATGTGTATATGTGTGTGTATGTATGGATGGATGGATGGATGGATGGATGCATGCATGCATGTATGTATGCATGTATGCATGTATGCATGTATGCATGTATGCATGTATGCATGTATGCATGTATGCATGTATGCATGTCTGCATGTATGCATGTCTGCATGTGTGCATGTGTGCATGTGTGCATGTGTGCATGTGTGCATGTGTGCATGTGTGCATGTGTGCATGTGTGCATGTGTGCATGTGTGCATGTGTGCATGTGTGCATGTGTGCATGTGTACATGTGTGCATGTGTGCATGTGTGCATGCATGTATGTATGTATGTATGTATGGATGTATGCATGCATGCATGCATGCATGCATGCATGCATGCATGTATGTATGTATGTATATATAGTGTGTATAATATCATTTTTTAATATCTTATATTCATTATTCATTATTGTTTTTTTCCACCCGAATCCAGCAGCTTACCCAACATGCTTCCAACAAAAACGCCACCATTTTTGGGCACCTGCAGAGTCGTGGAGGTGGCGACCCCCGTGGGCAACAGACCGTTCGCATCCATCAGCTGTTGGACCATGCTCTGCACCTGCATCATGCGCTCCGCTACCACCGAGAAAACCATGGAAAACAGCTACTGAGTTACAGTACTGTAAAAGTGGAAGAACTTGGGTACCTACGGGATTTCTCCAAAGCGTGTGGCCAAAGAAGACTTTATCTGTGCATAAACATATGACAACATATGTAAATCTACCATCCATCTTTCTGCCAAACATGAGCATATATATATATATACATACATACACAGTGTGCATGCATACAACAACCATTGCCTCACCCAACAAATAACCATTCATGCAGATTGCTGCGTATATCGGCCAAGACTGGGCATGGATCCTTTATTTGTTGGATGCCCAAACGGCCCTAACTTGTACAACAAAAATCTGCGGTTTCCTGGGCCAAAACAAAAAAAATGATCCATGTCACGCCCATCTCATGCCTAAATCTCCAGATATCTTCATAATTTTGTGGTTAATTAAATCCCAAGTCGGTCACATACCAAAAAACAAAAACAAACATCATTAGCAATGTTCTATCCATGCTATCATCCTAGCTAGTAACTAGTAACCTGGTGATCATGAGTCCCCCTAACTGGAAAATCACCAATTCTTAAGTGGGAAAACCAACTTCACAACCACTAATCACTTATAACTCGGCGTGTGGTTTTTCATGGTTTTTCCAAGTATTCCATCCATTGTGGACGGCAATAATTCACCAAGATGGAAAGGTCGTTTTGGGCATAGTTGCTCCAACAAAAAAAACTCATTTCTAGTGAGGTCGCAGGGTTCGGTCGTTATAGTTCATCCAAATCATTCTTCCATTATCAACTGGTGAAATCACAATTTTGACAATCATTCTTCCGTTATCAGCTGGTAAAATCACAATTTTGATAATGAAATCCCCATGTTTCACCATTTTTCATAGTGATAGCCTCATTTTGGGTTGCTGAACCCCCGGAATCCCATTGAAGTCACCGGAAAAACACCTCCAGATGCTCCGCCCAAGGCCCGCCTCGGGCGCCGTGACGCTGGCAAAGCTACTGGAGGCGTCGGCCGTGACGGCAATCCTTTTGGGGCCAAGTTGTCATGGAGATCCAGCTCCATATACCACCATCGTATAATATTGTTATAATATATATATACACACATGTAGATATGTATATATATAGACGATATATGTATAAATACATATTGTATATATCTATATTGTATACATATATACATTATGTATGTATATATATAATGATAAACGATCAATATATTTGTCATATATAGCTGGAGGTTGGAATTTGTGTACGGATATATAATGAAGCTGGATATATAAGGATATACCATGATGTACATATATAACATAGCTGGATATGATATACTGTAATTCTTAAGTGGGGGATTCCCAAGTCACCATGGTTGTTTCAGTACTAAGTCATGGTCTAATGACTGAATGATTTGGAGGTACCCCCATGGATTGGAAACATATATGTATAATTCTGAACTATCTTGATAGAGATAGTGTATATATGTATATAGTATCATGATAATTGTCATTACGGTGATTGTTATCAGGATACATATCATAGTTGTCCTGATTTCATATGATAATGTGTATGTATATATGTAAATACAGTTGTAATACCAGTAAAATAACAAGGAGCCAAGTATCACCGATGTGCATTTCATAAACAGAACTTCGTACACCACACATTGGGGATGGTTCATGTACCACGACCTCCAAGTTTTTTTGGTGTTTTGAATGGATTGGAGCTGCAGCAACTGCAGGTCATCGCTGCTCGCCTCAAGACTGCTTCCGTCTCGGCATCTGAGCACCAGCTATGCACCTCGTCCTGACAGCCCGGCCAAGATGCAGCTGCTGCTTGGTTTCAGCATCAATTGTTTATGGGGATTTAACATGATTTTGCACTAGGAACTATGAGGACATTTCATGGGATATACCATCAATCATAAATAATGTATATAATATATATATATGTATAGCATATATGTGCCAGGGTCAAAACATGGGACATTTTTAGCCAGCCCCCATGGTCATCCCATGGTCATCCCCTGGATGAACAGGCAAAGGTCTAGGGGGAAAAAAAAACGTATCAGTTATCAAAAATTATCAAAACCTACAAGCATCCATGTGCATCCATGTGGATCAATCATCTGAATTCACCAACCTGACACTTGCGGCCATTTGGGGATATTTATCCCAATCCAGTTCCCATCATTCCGGGTGACGTCGCAGAGAGGTCCACTGGTTGGTTCGTTGGTATCCCTATCATGGGTTGAAACACCCATTTCATCAGTGGTCATTTCAGGAACCTAACTTGGAGGTACACACACATATGTATAATATAACATAATATAATATAACATAAAATAATAACATAATATAATATAATACAATACAATACAATACATAATATATACACCATACATCACAAGGTCTATTTTTCAGGGCTAAATTTCAGGATATACACCAGTCATGGGAGTACCCGGACCCTTAAATCATCCAGCTATTGGGGTACCCGTGACCTGAAGGAAACCTCTTTCCGAGGTGCTGCATTTAGTGAGACCTGGTAATTGCGGATGCTTGGATCGAACCTCAGCGGCCCCATTGATGGCGCCCATGGGCACCCCGGTGATCTTCTGTTCACAGCCTTGTTTAGCTGGCAAATGAATGGTCCAAATCTGCTCTACTTGGCTTTGATCTCACATTTTGGAGAGAGACCCTGCCAACCTCAGTTTAAGTAGACTTTTGAGGGTTGAGGATGGTTGAGGGGCAGAGATTCCTGCAAGATTTTATCAAAACTGTGGGGAGTCAAAAACATAAACTTTTTGAGGGGTTGACGAGTGGGCTGGGCTACGATGTGGTGTGTCATTTTGACCACAGGATGGTGGGAATAAAATGTACTTTGTGTATCCGTATCCTCATAGACATCCGAATAAGTTGCCTATAGCAATGATAAATGGCAGTCATCCGTTTGTCACAACCACTACAGGTGCCCAAGTGATCAATCACAGTTTTCCTGGTACAAACAACTTCTACAGTGCTCCTGAGAAATCCTGATCTGGCATGCCCCTGGGGTAAACTTGCGGCCTTGTCACAACAAGAAAACCAGGTAAATACGACATATCATGAAATGTGTATCAAACAATGACGCATGTTTCATAATGTTTCATACATATAATATGTGGACAAATGAATCCTTGTTCTGGATGTAGTTATCAATTGCGGTACCTGTTATGCTAGTATTGCCGGACACTGATGAGGCATGGCAAGCGCAGCTCGGACCCTTTTCCTCGCACACGGACTTGAGCCAGCACGGCGTCCAGATGTACAGTTAAGCATGTGCATCACAAGTGTCCTAGTGTTCAGTTCCCTTTGACACCCCCCATGCCCGTGGTATTCTTCGAACCACGGACACGAGAGAGGGAACTTTGAATTAGATTGTTTCTGCTACTTGAATTACGCCTATGTACATAAAACGTGCCATTCGGCTCCCCCTTCCCCACATACCCGTCGGGAATAATGGTTCAGGGTTCGCCTACTCTCTGGCTGTCGATGCTTCGGCGCTTTATCAAACTGTACAACGCGAATTATTGCTAGCTAACATCTACTTTTCTACGTTGGCCAGGCATACCACTCACCCGTCGGGAGAAATGGATCGCTTCGCTACTAAAGATTTACCATGCTAACTAACGAATTCACGTGCACAGTGCAGAATTCGTGCAGATTGGGAATATCAAAAATCTTGAACCTAAGCGAATTATTCTACTGCCTCGCTCAGAGTCCACTCAGTTGATCCTTTCCTGATCATCTGTTCATAAAGACGATACACATCTCATATTCCAGTGATCATCTTGACGGATCAAAGTAATTGGTTTACTGCTCACGGCGGACTTTCTTCCATTGAGGTGCTGTTGGAGTTCTCTCCCATCCTGCCGCACGTTTCGGAGCAGCTTTCGGCGATGACGGCTTTGCAGGCCGTGCCTTTGATGGTTCATGGGATTTCGGCATAGCCTTGCCCTTTGGTGCACTAGCCGATGAGGATGATGCTGAACCAGTGCCTTCAGGTGTCTGTGAAGGTTGCGCAGTTGGTTTAGCAAACTTGGAAGCTGCAGTATGTCCAACCGCTTTGAATACTTCACTCACCACTTCGTCGCCAAGGGTTGGAGCCATCTTCGCTTTCATCTCGGTCTTCCCCCTCTGCGCCTCGGCCTCGGCCAGCTGAATAGCATAAGCCATCTTGCTGACAAAGTTTTGAGGTAGAGGAATGCCACACTGTTGGGCTGCAAAGAGCAAGCAGTTCTACTCTCTGTTCTTTCTCCCTCAGGCTCAGATATACCGAGAAAGCTGGGAGTTCGATGCAGTTGGGGAAGCCGTGGCTCCCGGAGCGAAAGAAGGTGTATGACTCGTGCTCCGGAAAGGTTCCTTTGAGCAGTCGTCGAAGGAAATTGCTGATGGTTACTCGCATCTCCTGTTTCCCTTGGGCATCAGCCTGCATTCGGTTCATTGGCATGAGAAAGCCTAATGACTCAGGAGTGTACCCAGCGCGTACCAGAAATTCCATCATCTTCTCATAGATCTCTAAAGTCTTGATGACAGGCATCATCATGTTTCTTGGTCGCCCTGAGTATAACTTCTCTCCTTCTGACCATGAATTCCTCTTCCCTTTCTGCTGAAAGAGTTCATCCAATTCCAGCTCCGTCGGTCGCTTGAGGTTGCCATCCTGGTCTTCTCCTGTATAAGGACAGAAGTCGTCCAGGTCCAGCCGGACTCGCTTGGTTTCCGTCATCATCTCATAGTACTCCTCTGGGGTCAGAGTGACTCTCTGTTTGTAGTAGAGCCTGAACATTGTGATGACCTTTGACATGACAGCATTGTCATACAAGTGAGCCGCGGCCTCGGAGACATCATTGTTGATAAGTCCGTCTTCTGGCATACCCTTGCTGCCGCTCTCGAGGTTCTTGGTCCATGCTGGAAGTTTGGAAGAGGATTCATCTTCAGGTTCGACTTCCATTTCATCTTCGTCTTCTTCAACGATTTCGTCGTCTTCCTGTTGGGCTTCCTCCTCCTGATCCATTTCTTCATCATCGCCTTCGTTGTAGTCGACCTCGTCGGGATTGAAGCCATAGTCGTTGGATTCGGATACGTTTTCTTGTGCTTGATGGACCGTATCCTTGAACAACGATTCTTCTTGTCGACGAACTTCTTCATCGATCTCTTTCTTCGTGGCCTCATCTTCATCGTCTTCAGGAGCTTGTAGCCGATAGGGACGGATTCCACAACTTTCCAGTTCCGTCCAGCAAACTAGACACACTGCTAGTTTTGTCGGCGTCTCATTGAGACAGTGAGGACAATGGCGGCAACCTGATGTTTGCACCCTTTTGCGTTCGACTATGTAGTGAATCAGCTTGATGCGGGCCAGGTATTGTTCTTGTCCGCCAGGCTTGATGAGGTCGTTCTTGAATTGGTTGACGATGTTCATGGCATCCATGGCGGTTTCGTCAAACGGTTGATCTTCGGCGTCGATGCATTGACTTGCAACCCTCAAGATGGACTCCTTGGTGGCTACCGTTCTTGATTTGACAGTTCCAGACCGGACTACCTGGTCGTCGCCCGACGGGACGAACAACCGGAGCCATGTCTTATTATTTTGGTCCTTTGGGTCCTGAATCCATCCTCCTTTGATTGCCGAGAACGGGATGATCTTTGGTGAGACGATCTGTCCCGAGTCAGTCAGTCGACCGCCATATTCCACCATCAAGGTCTCGGTCGGGATGAACAAGCAAATGTAGTCCCCCTTCCGCGTATCAACGCTCTTCGTGATAGTCCATGATCTGTGATCCCATGGCACATACGGGTTGAAGAACGTGAACATCCGATGACCTTCTCCAAGACCTCCTGGAATTAATCCCTGCCTCCAAATGCTTCGAAGGTTGGTCTTCTTGGTGATGTGGAAACAAACCGGTAACGACAAAATGGTGTTGGGCGCGATTGGATGTGAAAGTAATGAGGACAGCAATGAGACGTCGTCCCTTGAAGATCCTTCCTTGTGCCCCGTAGGAGCACGGACCGCCACAGGGTAGAGCAGTAGACCTTCATCAGGAATGTTCGTGTTCGCATCGACTTTGTTGTCAATGCACGTCAGGCTGGTGCGCTCGATGTCCTTGTTGATACCAAATGCCAAGACTTGTTCACGAACACGACGTCCATACCGGGCACAGTGGAACATGATCTTGAAGAGCAACGTCATGCGGTAGTTTGCCTCATCGACATTCCATGCACTCTGATCATTTGCTCTTCCTTTTGGGGCAAGGAATACATGTGGCCAGCGTGCGTACTCGTGCCTCCAGATAGACTCGCATTTGAGCACCTCCTCTATGGGCACCCAGCCGGCGTCATCACATGACAGACTCTGTTGTTCTGATACCTTCCCCACGTTGTGCCGCAGGATCCTGTTTAGTGATGTACTCACCTTGTCCTCGTAGGTATTGAGTCGGTTGCCAGTCTCAAATCGGTAGTTGGCCGCATATTCTACACCGCCAAAGTAAGAGCAGTTGAAGAAATGGGCCCCCGTGGTCGGGATGATTTTCAAGAAACCATCTTGCGGCGCCTCGACTCTCTTGTAGAAGGGCTTCCTGATGTTGTTATCAGAGTAGCTTGCCATAAAGTCTGGCACTGACCAAGAGTCACCTCCTCCTCTGACAATAGCGTCTCTGACCACTTCGTTGAGGTCAACAATGTTCTGTGGTCCTAGCTTTGTAACATCACGTCCTTCTATGCAGAATCTGCCATACTCATCGAGGTCACCAACTTCAGACATAGTTCTGATGCTGTCGTACCATTGGTGTTCACCAAACCTCGATTTTGTAGGTTCATCCGTTTGCCCCGACCCATCAGTAGCACCTGAACCGTCCTTCTTGTGCTCAGGAGGCTCCATATCGACGTCATCAGATGTTGGACTATCAGCCTCGAGCGACGCTCGGACGGCCTTTAGCACTTTTCTGACTTCATCCCTCTTCTCATGTTCACATTCAAGATGGCCATGTTGGGTGCTACCACAATACAAGCACACGTTGACATCCTCAGAGACGGTGAAGAGTTTTCCCAACGCATCCAAAAGTTGTTGTTTCCCGGAATTCTCTGAGTCCCTGACCACATCGGTGGGGTCGTTCGCTGGCTCATCAGCTTCCTCCTCCCCAGGGTGAGCCGACGACTCGTCACCTGGCTTGGCATCGGCATCAGTGCCCATGCTGGCGTCACCCCCTGTGATGTTGTTCTTCCTGCGATAATGAGAGAATACCTGATCCTTCTCCCAGTCCGTGAGGCAGCAGAAATTGGCCAGCGAATCATATCCGGGGATTGCGTGGATGAGCTTCATGACCCTTTCGGCTTCTGCAGTTTGCAGTGTGCAGTCGAAGGATCCCCGTCTCTTGTCATTGATGGTGCTCGAGGTTCGGGAGGTCGATGTAAATTGAGCCAGTGCCTTTTCCAATCCATTGAGATACTCAGCTGGATCAACACTAGCATTGAAAACATCTACGACTCCCTTGGCCATATTGGCCACGTCCAAGACACCAAGCCAGAACTCGATGAT